ATCCTCCTATACCAGAACGGGAGCCGCTTCCTGTGGTTTACTTGTATGGCAGATTCGCCAACGAGGGTCAGAGCGCTTCCATTGTAGCAATTGACGCAAAATGTGGTCAGCACTCACACATTCATCACGAAACGGTTGCTTTGCAAAGTCGACGACGCATCAACTGAAAGAACTGCTGATGAAGAACAATGAGCAGGACCACACAATGGTTGCTGCCGAGTAAACAGACGATCGCGTGACACACGTTGAGAGTGGTCTGCTTCTGTCGACAGCCGAGTGAACACTGATCACATAGTCACTGACAGACTTGATCCTCAAAAAACTCTTCGTCAAAATCTCATTCATTTTTTCGTCAATGACAAAGATTCAACTGCTAACAAAAAGTGTAATGTCGTGCATTCTGTGTCACATTATTGTTATCCAAGCAGTTCAGGACGTAGAAGCATGTTCACTATAACGGCTCCATGTAATTGTTTTGCTCAAGTAGGGGAAACAGATCTATTGATGCGATACGTTAGAAGCGTTAGGAGCCCATTGTTGTGTATGGAGACCTCCATACACAGCAATAGGCTTCTAACGCTTCTAGCGTACCGCAACAATAGGACTGTTTCCCCTAATTTAATTTCGCTACAAATTTAGTTAATACAAAAATCTACACATGTTCGTCACTGACAGGATTGTCACTGACAATTGACATGGTTTGCCTTTGCCGATGACAGTAGGCTGAAATGAGTGACCGAAGCAGAATTGCCACTATCGCCGTGTACTGTCGAGATTTGGCAGCACCTGTTGTAGGTGTGTACTAGTTTCATTTTTGACGTAGGACTACGTCTTTGATTTCTTTATGGGAGTACACTTTGTGAAAACTGAAAATGGAACATGTAACAAATTAAGAAAGATTTTGAACGTTAATAACTCAGCTGCCCCTGGTGCAATTTCAATAATTTTATCACCAATCGATCAGAAATATGGCTACGCATAGATGAAAATGCTTCCGAATGTTGATTTTCAACAAGAAACTATTGAAAAACTGGTAAATGTCCAGCTTTGTCCAAAGGCGTCGAATTAACTAACAAATCCACCAATTACCTACATGCATATGCTGCTTCCCAGCACAGTCGTCAGAGAGTAGTGAGTAGACGAAACAAGTCGAAGTGGCATTCGCCTCCGATCCTCGGGCGCGTCCGAATAGGGAGGATGGAATTGCGTAATATTTTACACACTCATCGCCATATTTAGAAACACACGCTCCCAACGACCACACAAAATGCTCTCCAGAGTTGTAATCTTGTAACCAAACTTGGAAACAACTAAAATTCATATCAAAAGGTTCTTTTCAGGGCAATCATAGTCATACTAAAGAGTATAAACAGAGAGAACCCCGCAAAATTTCCTATTCCTACACAAAACACAAGCTCCTGCTGCAGTTAACAAAAATATTTATTATAGCATACCACGTAGTCCTACGTCATCATTGCGTACAACCCCATTGGGCTGTCCCTTGTAGTTTTTTGTATATATACGTTTCAGTCGTGTGTGATCCGTGTGCTACGCTTTAATCGTATTAAGGTTTATTTTGATGTTTGATTAATAATGTTTTATTGTATACGTGCGTGCAATCTGTCGGATAGATGTGGAATACAAAAGCGTTATTTTCGGTAGACCCAGGTTCAAATACATGTTTGGGTCTTGCTGGGAAAAGATATTAAGATCTATCCCAGGCCGTAGAAAATCGTAACAGTTATAACTCGGGCGTAACGGTACGGAAAAAGTAATAAGTACACAGTTAAAAATTCGGAATTTTACTGGTGATGTAAACATCCATGCATGCAAAAATGTATGCATGTAAACTTCCTTTTCACGTAAACTAGCAGCTTGCAAGAAATATTGCTTACAAAGAAGAACAGTTGCATACAATTTTTTATTTTTTTTATTTATTTAACGTCGGTCTTTGTTCCGCAATCTAGTGCCAATCACCGACGGACATCGATTGCCATCCATTGACAGCAACCGAATGTGCAGGAAGGCAGCTTCCACACCTGCGTAGGATATCGCACCCATTCACAACACACATGGGCCGGGACCAATGGCTTTACTTCCCTTCCGAAGGAAGACGTGACCAGAGATTTTTATGCCTCAGAAAAATCCCACCGACCTCGGCTGGGGATTGAACCCAGACCCATTGGAGTGTTAGAAAGCAGTCACGCTTACCACTACACCACCGGCGCCGGCCAATTGCATACAATATATGGAATATTTCATAACATGTGTCATAAATTTACACGATCTGTAATGTAAACTTGTGCGATGTATGACGCTCCTTTTATGTGCATCATAGAAACGCAAATTTACACTTTTTTTTAACTGTGTATATTACAATTTGACGCATGCTGGACCCGGTTTGAAAAATATTGTTAACTGCTTTCGGGGACGTCATTTTATTTGAATACCTTTTTACCCGGGCTTGATAAATCGTCGGTCGTAGCTTGTTGTGATATAAATGGCAACCATTTTTGCTTACTGAGCAGAATATCATGGGTTGGCACCCAAACCTCGTTGTATTACTGAGTTGATCGATTCCGGGTCTCCAGCCATTCCAAAAATCGAAAGTCTTGTTCGCGTCAATTTCAGAAATCAATACATTATATCAAAACTACGATCGCATCGCTTATCAAGGTGATTTAAGAAATCAATACATTATATCAAAACTACGATCGCATCGCTTATCAAGGTGAATCCTGATCCAACGAACGCAATGTACTAACAAAATATCCCTCCTGTGACCTTTGTGGGGGCGCAGAGGTAAACGCGGTCCCAAAAAAAAACCCAAAGGTCGCTATAATATTACTTTGCTGAGTTGGTTGGAAATGCTAACATGAAGCTTTAGTGTGATGATTTATTAGCTAGAGAATGATCTTTAGAAGAGTGTAGGTGGATAGTTCCGTTAGAGTACGGCAGTATGAAAATTGAATAGAAGTTGAAAATGAGCGAAGGGCCATTAAAGCGACAGTGTTCAAGATAGACGCACATTTTTGCCTAGCCCGTACTTTGCTACTCCCACCTGATTGCAAGGGTTTCACCCGCGCCGTTATTGATCTTCATTTGGAGTTACGGAAACTTGTACAATGAGAATGGAAGGTCACTCCCAACCCCCTTCAATTGATACATTGTACAATTTCACTGGTTCTGATCAATCACTGAGTAGCAACCATTTGATATGTGCAGTCAGTCTAAGCTAAGCTAAGCTAACCATGAAGGTAAGTTTTGCTTCGCTTTCAGAACATTCACATAATGTTTCGAAACCTGACTACGCCTTTGGACGAGGGTCTGTATTAAATATTAGCCATTCAAATTTTAATGGCATTATTATCATTTAAAATTATGAGCAACATAATGTAGTTTCAGTTTATTGAAAAATGCTACTTGCGTCTTGCTTACATTAATACTAACCAGATAACCCGTCTTCACTTGAAGTTGTTAAATTATGCAACACCGAGCTCAAAATGTCGATCACATCGCAATCGTACTCAGCAAACTCAGATTTGTAATCCTAAGCTTTTCATCCGTTGCGTGCACGGCTTGAGCAAACTGTCCATTTGCCACAACTTCATTATGGCACTCACAGCTGAAGTGTAGGTTCGGACGGGAGGGATTATGGAAATAAAATCGTGTGAAACCTTCCCACGCACAAATGAACCAGTTGGCACAATTATCGCCGCTCAATTGTTTATACCTGACGGGTTGATGATTTGTAGGTTCTCGTTCGCTAAAACGAACGAGGCGCCATCCTCTATAATCCGATCCATCCACACACACCATCGCACCTCAACGATATTTCCTACCCACCCTAGGAAGCCCCACGAAGCAGTAATCGTGCCGGGGATTACATCTGGCTAATTAAAGTACAACCTTTTTTTTGTGTGTCTACACTATCCTACCCGACTGATTGTGCTGGACGCAGACTGACAGTTTGATTTGGACACCAGAGGTGTATAATTAAGTCACGGGGCAAGCAGAATGTCACAAACCGGCAAAAAACGTAACGTTCAAACTTGTTTCGAGCAACATCAGATGGGAGAATTAAATTTCAAATGTTGATTTTATTTTTGTCATAATTGTTCAGTCAGTTCTGCTGGTGGGAAACCGAGTATAAGCTTGCGGTTTACACTGGGAAGGTTTTACTACTCGACACAATAAAATTCAAAGTAAAATGGTATTTGCTTTGGGTGAAATTGCCGTTACGTTTGTAAAGGGAAATAATATTTAGTATCTTTCTCAAACCAGGATTAGAAAAGCTTCAACAAACATTGTTATCTAAAAAAAAAATCTAAAATACGTTCCCACGAAAGTTTCAATTTCAATAAACCAGCCTGCAATCCAATTGAAACAGACATTTGAATCGACCTATTGCCACGCTTGCGCTTCAACACTGCCATTGACCTTCGTTATCGCGTGCTGTGACTGTTATCTATGCTTTAAAAATCAGACCGACATCGTGCTGGGTCTGGTTTCGCTTCATAAACAACTTTAAAAAAAAACTCGACGTCGTCGTTCCCATTCGCGTGCGTCTTTTCGTCTCAACCGAATTAAACAGTTAATGATAGGTCGATCGATGGCTGTTTTATGTAGTTGGTTTTGTTTTAACCCCATTAGACACACATTTTAAATATAGGCTAACATTTAACACTACTACCATCCGGTGATAAATTGTCTCCGACCACGAAATGCTTGATAGCATTTTTCCCTCGATTGAATTACAGGGTAATCAATTCGCCTGACTTCGTTTTTCATGCCACCATTAGGCAGCTTCCGTGACGAGTTCGCCATCGCGAGTTCAAAAGCATCAACTGCCTACCTACTTACTAACTGTCTGATGTAAATTTCGCCCATTATCGGAAAGTCTTTATCGCCGCGGGCGCAATCGACCGAGAGCGCCGAAAATTAATGGATCATAATTTGATAACTAATGTCTTTCTTTTCTACGCTTTCTCTGCTTGCAGTTATTCATCATCGAGCGACAGGTGTTTGACTTCCTCGGATATATGTGGGCACCGATCTTGGTGAACTTCTTTCATATAATATTTGTGATATTTGGATTCTTTGGTGCCTATCAATATCGTCCAAAATATTTAGTAACGGTAAGTAATTTAGCATAAGTTATTAAGTTAATCATCATGGTATTAGTTCTTGGATACATAGTTTGCTAATGCATCGTACTACGAAGCAGTGTTGGAAAAGTTCGCGACATTTCACGGAGTTCATCACGGGGTGATGACTAGCCATCACTTTTCTTTGTGGTGTATTTTTGTATTGTATTTGTTAACTTCTATCCCAATTGGGATTATCGTCTGCATTGGCATAGCAAGATTTTTCCAACAGGGGGTGCAGAGTACTGAAAGTTTCGGAAGCATCGAGTGCTCTTCATGTTCTGGATTTGCTGAAGTTTCGATAGTAAGTTGCCTGGAGTTCCAAAAGCTCATTCTTTTTTTTTTTTTTTTTTAATCATAGTCACTTTAACGCTCTTGGGTCATTCGTGACTTGTTCGGGGTGAGATTTGAACTCGTGACTTTGGCGTGAGAGGTATGGATGCTAACCACTACGCCGGGGTCGCCCCCTCCAAAAGCTCATAATATAATGACATATTTCCCGTCCAGCTTTCGCAACGGAAAGCTCCCGAAGTTTTTATTGTTTGTAGAGTTCCAACGGTATACCTAGCTGTTTCTGATGGTATTAAATTTCTTAAACCTTCTCGAGATACATACCAGAAATTTCGATAACAGATGTTACGGGAATTCTGATAGTTTCTAGAGTTATTTACCGGAGTAAGGGTACTTTTTGAGCCTCATGCATGTGCATGTTTAACCTAATTTTAGAATCTTTGAAAAATTGAAATTTATTTGAAACATTCGATACTCTAGAACTCCCCGGTGCAGCCCTGCACAGTGCACAGTGGTCCAGAATGCATATTTAGGTGGAATGATATGTTTTGAGTCTGAAATTGAAACTTTAGATTAAAAGTTTCTTCTACAAAGTTGTTCCTTATAGTTAGGCCCTCATTTTTATGACAATGAATTCTAGGGTGTTTCTTATTATCATTAAAATCAAAAATCTAACTTTTTTGTTTGAATAAATTAAGGTATTCATTCTTCGGCAAAGTTATAGCTGAGCTATTTTCAAGCAACTTTTTTATATCCCTTAAATTGACCGATTAAGAGCTATTTTCTTGAAGTGAGTTAGGGTGTCTCTAAAAAAACAGTTGTTTTGCTCTAGTTTTCTTATTTCAAATTTCTGGTCCTCAAATTAGGGGTTTTAATAACTAACTTTTTTTGTTTTACAAAATAAAAACATGTTGTTGCTAATGCAACTAATAGAGAATTTGGCTCCGAAATTTTAAACGTATTTATTATAGTAAACATTATATTCTAAAACGCATATTTTTTTTAGGAAACTAAACCTAAAAAAAAAATGCGTTTTAGAATACAATGTTTACTATGATCTTATTACTTACGTTTTGTAATCTTCTTTCATTTTTTAACCCGGAATGGAATCTTTGTAACGCTAGGCTTAGGGAATCCTGAATATAATTAATCAAATTTAGGAAATACTCAAATTAAACTTTTAGTTATCAAATTTACCGGTTTGTGCAGAATAACTATAGTTTTCTTTTCTGTCTAGAGGCGGCTCAAGGCAGAGTGCAAATCAACTTAACCTATAACAATTTTTAGGTTAATAAATTTCATTTTAATTAGCACTTCAATAAACAAAACTGTTATTTGTTCAACTCACTGCATGTGTAGAATAACAAATTTAAGTTTAAATGTAAATATATACGCGAAAATTAGGCAAATAAATTTAGATAATCTTTTTCGACATCGTGTCACACCAATTCCGCTTTGTTATAAGCCCTCTTTTTTCTTCTCCATGATCTCGTTTTGTCAGCTTTCGCTTGTTCAGTTGGTACCGAAGTGTTGATTTGGAGGTAGGCTCACAGACGAGGGGCGTTCGCAACACATGTGTTGTTCCAAAAAGTTGTAGCTAAGTTGATTTCAAGCAACTTTGTCGAAGATAAAAAAATTGTATCTCTTAACGTTCTCATTTTAAACTTATTTTTCAGAGTTGACTCAGGGTGTTCCTGATAAAAAATAGTTTTTTAGCACTAACTTTTTTATTTCAAATTTCTCGTGAAAGTCATTTTCTAGAGACATTTAAAACTCTTTAAGACAAATGTTTTATAGCAAAATTTGTTGTCTGTATCTCTTCTAATAAAAAACGGTATACCCAAATATAGTAAAAAATATGTATAAATTCAAATGGATTTTATACGAGTTTGAAAAATAACATACCTAGTAGAAAAACGACAATAACTCTTGATCAGCGAAATACAGTCAAGATTCCTATAGTACGGATTCGTTCTTGCCGGATTCCTATAGTACTGATGCAACTATAGTATGGTCGATCCGGCATTAACGAATACACGTAGCATATGGGATAAGAGCTAATTGGGACCAAACACTGATTGAACGGCAATTTGAAGCGATAACTTCCTGATGTCTTTTGAGAAATTGTTAAGCAGAAAGTTGGCCACCTTTTGAGACCTTTTGAGACCTTCTGATCCTGTAGAAGTGCATTGGCGTCTTATCAGAATCCCGTGGTCCCCAGTATAAAATGTTTGGTCAAAACTCCAATTTTATTGTGACAAAACGTCTATGAGTGGTTTCTAGAAAACCGTCGAGCCCTAATTTCAGTTTCATGAATTGGCCACTTTTACGGATGTTCCGGATCTTCTATTGAACCATCCTGTAGTCCTCAGGGTCCATATTCCCGACACAACTCTGAATACATTCTGATAAGACGTTTATGAGTGGTTTGGGAAAAACCGCGTAGGATCAGTTTTATGCATTGACCACTTTTACGGATGTTCTGGAAGTTTCGGTGAACCATCCCGTGGTCCCCAGGGTCCATATTCCGGTCAAAACTCCGAATTCATTCTGATAAGACGTATATGAGTGGTTTCGAAAAATCTTCGAAGCTCTAGGATGAGTTTCATGACCGCTTTTACGGATGTTCCGGATATTCTAGTGAACCATCCTGTAGTCTCCAGGGTCCATATTCCAGTCACAACTCCGAATTAATTCTGATAAGACGTTTATGAGTGGCTTCAAAAAATCTGCGGAGCTCTAGGATCAGTTTCATGAATTGACCACTTCTACGGATGTTTCGGATCTTCCGGTGAACCATCCCGTGGTCCTCAGAGCCCATATTCCGGTCACAACTCCGAATACATTCTGATAAGACGTTTATGAGTGGTTTCGAAAAAACCGCGGAGCTCTAGGATCAGTTTCAGGAATTGACCATTTTTACGGATATTCCGGATCTTCCACAGAACCAGACTTGTGTTCTACCGGAAACTGAATCGTCCCAAAAGGTGGCTAACTTTCTGCTTAATAACTTCTCAAAAGACATCAGGAAGTTATTGTAGTGGTTATCTCTTCAAATTGCCGTACAATCAGTGTTTGGTCCCAATTAGCTCTTATCCCATATGCTACGTGTATTCGGTAATGCCGGTTCCTACAGTGCGGTCCCTATTAACCTTACTATAGGAATCTTGACTGTATATTGACAAGCTTTGTGCAGCAAAAATTTGCGCCTTCTAAAGATCTAAAAGTTATTTGAAGACACCTTTGCTGATAAATTTGAAATAAGAAAACTAGAGACGCCCTAACTCAATTCAAGAAAATAGCTCTAAATCGATCAATTTAAGAGATACAAAAAAGTTTTTATACAAAGTTTACTTGAAATTAGCTCAGCTATAACTTTGCCCAAGAATGTATACCTTAATTTATTCAAACAAAAAAGTTAGTTTCTTGATTTTAATGATGATAAGAACCACCCTAGAATTTATTGTCATAAAAGTGAGGGCCTAACTATAAGGAACAATTTTGTAGATGAAACTTTTAGTCTAAAGTTTCAATTTCAGGCTCAAAACATATCATTCCACCTAAATTTGCATTCTGGAACACTGTGCACTGGTGGAGCTTCCGAAAATTCAGTGACTTTCAAATCTCGTCATAGGGCTTAGAACTTATTTTGGGTCTACTAAGCACAACCTGCGCTTTGTCTCTGTTTTTCGAGTGGATTTTTTCACAAAATCGAATGTTTTTACCGCAATTGACTTCTAAATTTATTTACCTTTCCGTACGTGCCGTAAGATTTGATGAAGCTTAAAAAATTGTTGAAATAGGGGAAATGGCTCTAATGTTGGCCTATGAATCTAAGATTGGGCCCATCGCTAAAAATCTGCTATTTATCAATTTTATCTAGATAAACGCGTCATTGGGACGGTACTAATGGATATTTTTGGTAGCTATTGAAAATTTAGTCGATTGCTGAATTTATGTATGGGCCCAAATTAGGGACATTACATCCATTTCCCCTATTGTTAAAAAATCTAACACAGCTTCTTGACCCCACATTTGGCCTTCGGATTCTAAACTCGGCCTAACGCATTGAAACGCTATTGAATTTACTTTGGCCTATCGGATGAAGATAAAAATTGATTCGGTCGGAGCGATTTTTTTTTTTGATAATAATGTGTGCAAACATTCATAGGGGAAATGCAGGTAATGTCGGCCTAAGTGTCCCTAATTTGGGCCCATACATAAATTCAGCAATCGACTAAATTTTCAATAGCAACCAAAAATATCCATTAGTAACGTCCCAATAACGCGTTCATCTAGATAAAATTGATAAATAGCAGATTTTTAGCGATGGGCCCAGTCTTAAATCCATAGGCCAACATTAGAGAAATTTCCCCTATAACGCGTTCTTATTGACTTCATTCGGTAGCTTTTAACCTGAAGTATCGTACCCTACGCATAATCAACTTGATAACGCCGAAATCATGGATTTATTTGAAATGGGCGATTAGGCCGAAGTAGTTCTCTACCATATTTGATACATTTTATAAAAAATTAGAATTTCAGTAGCACCCAAAATTTATTACTGAGCAGTTTCAGACCAAAATAGCGAGAAAATAAACAAATTTTAGATTTTACCTCTCAGAATTCCTACCTAAATTTTACCTCGCATAATTGTTCGCTAGAGGCAATGATCCAGGTTTGTGCTGAAATTCGAACATTTTGAGTCTCGAATAATTTTCAAAATGGCCTATTCGATATTTTGCAATAAAAGAAGGCTCGTCGGATCGAAATGATGTCTGAGACAAAGTTGATGGAAACTGGTTTACCTTTTCAGACTTAAAATACACATTGAAAAAAAAAATTCAAAACATCAAAATAACAGTGCCTTTTTGAAATTTCTAAACTTATGTTATGTTTATGTTTATGTTAGCTAATTAAAAATACTAACTTTTCTGGAATTGACACTTCAGAGTTGCATCCAATCAAAGTGTTTTGTTACTTCATATGTGAAGTCTACGATTTTTAAAGTTGGGAGGAAATGTTATAAAGATTCCATGCAGAATGAGCTCAAAAAACCTGAAATTGCGCTGGACCATCTTCGTTTTGGATAACACTAAACTAATTTTCCTTAATTTTATTTTATTTAGGGTTGTTCAGGAGATATGACTTTTGGTCGTTTATTTTTACGAATACACCCTTTAACCATTTGTCAAAAAAAGGTGATGCGTTTTTTATGGCTCCTGAGTGTAAATTGCTGGATTCAACAAGCACTTAATTTTTCTTCTAATTTTATAACATTTATTATACGTGTTACGTCACAAACAAAAAGGTTCAACTAACTTTTAAATTGCGTGAATGGACGCAACTGAGCTACGGGACATAACTGCTTTGTTTGAATTATTAATTGTTCTCAGAGGTTTCCAACCCCACCCTTCCAGCTAGCCTATCGGGTTCAATTTCAAGTGGCAAGGTAGTCATAAAAGATTGCAACTCATCGCGTTAGTACCCTAGACTATGTGCCCGCGTTTATGACCGAGTTGAGCTGTAGGCCGTGGGCGGTTACTACCGGTTTTTTTTTATACCCGACCTCCGATACTTCAGTGCCTACACCTATGACTGGAGCCCACAACAATGTGAGAATTGATTCACATGGTTTCGGATAACAAGTTTCAGGAAGGTAGTGAGTAAGCTCCCCTATTATACAGCTCTCTTTCTCTTGTGGGTTGTGTTTTATGAACGTGTATCATGATTATATGGTGGAAAAGCTTTTAATATCAAGAGCTCGACTGCATATAAGAGTTATTACCGTATAATTTCATCGGAAGTTGTTTACATACCTCAGAAGAATGTTCGGTATTTCCGGGAAAATTTAACTTTGTTGAATTATTTCCAATCAATTACGTAATTTAGTAACGATTTATGTCATTTTCTTTTTCTTTTCAGTACTCACTATGGAACCTTTTATGGATAGGATGGAACGTATTCCTAATATGTTTCTATTTAAATGTAGGAGTCTTAGATAGGGTAAGTATCTTGTTATCTCAGTATATCATCTAAGACTACCCTCTCAGCACACTCTTGACTTGATTAGAGCGTAAATTGAGATAAACAGCACTCATCTAACTAACTGTGCTGAGCAGCTAATCTAGGAACACGAATCTTTATGGAGCCATGAACGGGAAAGTGTCATTTCGCTTCCATCGCCGGTGCCGAGCCGTGGAATGAGAAGTGGCCAAGTGATGAAAGTTGGCAATTAGCTAGCTTCTTTATTCGCAACATTTTTCTTCAACTCCTTTCTCATTAGTCTACCCAATTTCCTCTCAAAGTGCTCTTTTGGAAGCGACTGTGAGTGGGAATTTCCTTTGCTCGCACGTCGCACTCATGCTCACTTGATTCGACTATTTGAGCTGTGTTCGCTAGCGTGGTAGTACATACTGTCAACAAAATCTAATTAAAATCTTTGCTCTAGTTCTTCGGAGAAGTTTCCTGTTGTTGTGTTTTCTGGCTTCATCTGCCAGAACTCGTTGCTCGGCAAAAAACAATTTTGTGTCACATATATCTACGGATGCGGGGAAAAGTTTGATCAGCTCGGTGAAAATAACACAGCTGTTGCGAGTGGGAGATTTAATCCATTGGAGCACAGATTCATTGATCTGATACGCGTGGTCGTTATGAATGCGGCTAGAACTAATAGGCGCTTTCTCATAGTCGTCCCCCGCGGACTAGAAATTCCGAGATCCACCTCCTGGCTGGAATTCAGACATTAGAAGAACGGGGAATATTCATCCTGGAAAGGTTCAGAGACATCTGTCTGAGATCAAATCATCAGATCATACGTGATCTAGCACGTTAGGTTAAGTTATACTCGTAGTTAGGTAGGTTTTCACTTCTTTCAATTCAAACAAAACAGACCCCCAAAGGGGTATTCTGTAAATTCGTTGAAAAACGCAAATATTAAATTAAACAAAGATGAAGAGCCAGGTAGGCTAATCAATTAAAATGTTTTTTATAGTCACTTGGGTCATTCGTGACTTGTCCGAGTGAGATTTGAACTCGTGACTTTGTCGTGAGAGGTATGGATGCTAACCACTACGCCGGGATCGCGTCTAAATTAAAATGTTTAATCAATGTACTATCATAATCAACAGAAATAAACATAATTTTACTACTTTACTACTAAGCTTTCTCACAGTCCGCATCGTGCTCTCTTGCCGTGCGGATCTATTTACTTTTTTCTGAAGGAAGTGTTACTGCTACCTAAAGCTACAACAAATTTAAACAGCACTTTTCAGTGCTCAATATACCTGTAAATTGTCTACCTTGTTTGACTCTTATTCTTCTTTGATCCTTGTTTGGACCCTATCCGAGGTAATCCTTGTTGGATATCGATTTGGAAAATTCCTCTTCGATCCTTCAGATTTTTATAGTAATCTGCTTGAAAGTCGATTTGGATAAAAAATTTACTGCCGCCAAAGCGCAAAAGAAAAGGGCAATCTCTTGATCCCCCTTCTGATGAAATTAATTTGAGCAATCAATTTGATTTGCTCACGGATGATGAGAATGATCCATCATCCAGGAAAAAATCTAGTAAACTTTCCCGGCTTAATGCCAAGAAGGAAAAGATTCCCCCTATTGTGATAACCACTTCCAATTTCATGTTTCCATCTTCGTGAAATTCAAGTTTTCACTGCAAATTGGTGAATGCCATGTTTTGGCTGAAACCTTGGACGGATTCAAACGTCTTCTCAAGTATCTTCTGAGAAGCAACTTCAATTTTTTACTTACGATACCAGAACTGAATGTGTGTTCAAGGTTGTCATGAAATGATTGTCCAGTGGTGAATCCCTGGATCAGATCAAAGCTGAACTGGCAACATTACTTGGAGTTGTGCCAGTCCAAGTAATCAAAATGAAAATAAAATCCTGTCCTGGCGATTCGCGCAACGGGATTTCTAATTATTTTTATTTAGTTCACTTCAAGTCTAGTGAACTAAACAACCTTAAGGCCTTAGTAAAAGCTTTATGCTCCATGACCGAGTGAAGTGGGAACACTTCAGAAAGACTGGAGGAAATTTCCAAAACCTCACCCAGTGCCGTAAGTGCCAGGGATGGGGTCACGGGACAAAAAATTGCTACATACCTGATAAATGCATGAACTGTGGTGACTCCTCTCACACAAAGGACGACTGTCCTTTGAAGGAAGATCCTAAGGAATTTAAATGTTCAAAATGTGGTGAAAATCACAAATATAATTTTTGGGAATGTAAGACTCGTAAAGCGATGCTACAATCTCGTTTTAAGCGACAGGTAGGAAACGCTCCACGTTTCCGAACAGGTACAAATTACTCTGCTGTTAACAACGATCAGTGAGGAACAAATTCTACACTCGTATCCGTAGGTACAAATATCACCCCTGCTTCAAATCTTCATCCATAACTGCTTCCCTTGTCCCGTAACGTGGGTAGATCACCTTTTCGTGGTACGTTTCGGGATGTAAGATCTACTACCGATTCCAAGTCGTAATAGAATGAAATAGAAATGATCGTCTTGATGGACCCTGTGGTGGCGTTGTCATCATTGTTGATAGACGTATCAAACAAAAATCCTTTCTTCATTTGAATCCAAAGTTTTTTAAACTTTAGGAGTTTCTGTTGTAACAAAATTTGAACAACTCGCGTTTATAGCTGCCTATTTGCCATACCAATGCTTAGGCCAGCAAAAGAATTTTTTCAATGGTGACCTTCAGAAACTTACCCGTCATAGGTCTAAATTCTTCATTATTGGTGATTTTAATGCAAAACACCGCTCATGGAATAATGCTTAAAGCAATTCCAATGGTAATATTCTGTTTGATGATTGTTCTTTTGTTTTTTTTTTTATTATAACACTCTTGGGTCATTCGTGACTTGTCCGGGGGTGTGATTTGAACTCGTGACTTTGGCGTGAGAGGTATGGATGTTAACCACTACGCCGGGGTCGCCCTCGCAGCAGGTTCAATATCCAAATAGCCCAACATGCTTTTCTTCAGCAAGAAATCCCTCGACTATTGATGTGGTCTTAACTGATTCATGTCAACTCTGTAGCCAATTGGTTACCCATGCTGATTTCGGTTCTGATCACCTTCCAGTAACGTTTGAAATATCTCATGAAATAATTTCCAATCCCAACAGCTCTACTTTCAATTACCATAGAGCTGATTGGGAGCCATATCGAACATTTATGGAATATAGCCTCGATCCCAACATTCCTTTGCAAACCAAAGATGATGTTAATTATGCTTATGAATCTCTGACTTCTTCTATAGTTGAAGCAAGAGCTGTCTCAGTACCAAAATGCGAGGTTAAATTCGATTCAATTATAATAGACGACGATCTTCAGCTCTTGATCCGTCTTAGAAATGTCCGTAGGAGACAATATCAAAGAACACGCAATCTTGCTATGAAAGTTATCTGGCGGGATTTATAAAAACAAATTAAAAAGCGATTCTCTGCCCTGATGAACAAAATTTTTGAAAATAATGTTTATAATTTCGAAACACCCAAGTTCCAAACCCTTTTGGAAACTAACAAAATTTTTGAAAAAACCTCAAAAGCCTATTCCAGCGCTTAAAAAAGGTGGTAAAATGTTGATCACAATTTTTGAAAAAGCTCAGAAACTTGCTAAGCAATTCTAGAGTTCCCATAATTTCAGTTTGGGTCTTACTAGTCTTATTGAGAATCAGGTTGTTTGGGATTATCTGACTATTTTCTCTCAGGAAAATATTTTTGATGATTCGTGGGGTTCTGATTTGGACGAATTAAGATCTATAACTAAAAAAAAACATAATATGAAAGCTCCAGGTGATGATGAAATTTTCTTTATCAAAAAACTCCCAGAGAGTACCTTGTCTTTCTTGGTAAAATTATTTAACAGATCTTTCCTTTTGGCATACTTTCCTGATGAAAGAAAAACGCAAAAGTTGTTCCAATTTTGAAGCCGGATAAAAATCCAGCAGAAGCTTTTAGCTATCGGCCAAAAAGTTTGCTTTCTTCAATAAGTAAATTTTTTGAAAAGATAATTTTAAATATAACGATGCTGCACATCAATAAGAACTCAATTTTCGCAGATGAGTAGTTTCGATTCAACTAAAGGGTGTCCACGATGAAATTGCCACACTATGAAATTGCTCTAACTTTTTAACCGTTGGGTAGAATTTAATGAAAATTTGGGTGGATTTAGTTCATAGTGCATTATTTACATCCTGCAAGTTTTAAAGTCCTGTGATCAAAACTCGCGGAAATGTAGTCGAAAGAACAGCTCGTGCGTGATAAAATCTTGCGCATTCATCACGAGAACAAGGATCTCTCGCATCGTTCCATCGCTAAAACGTTGGGAATCGCGAATTCCACGGTGTCGCGAGTGATTAAGCGGTTCGAGGAATGACCACCGATCGAAAGCCCAGAAGTGAAGGAAAAAGTATTCCGTACAACACCAAAAATCACAACCGCGTAGTTGGGGCCTTCAACCGAAATCCGAACGCCTCCATTAGGGATGAGGCTAAGAAGCTGCACCTAAGCCGAAGTTTTGTCCAGAAGGCCAAAACTAAGGCTGGGCTTCGAACGTTCAAGGTACAAAAGGCCCGTAATCGCGACGAGAAGCAGAACAAGTCCGCCAAAACCCGTGCCAGGAAGTTGTACCTCAACATGCTGACGAAAGTTGAATGCTGCATCATGGACGACGAAACATATGTGAAGGCCGACTTCAAACAGATCCCCGGCAACCTGTTTTTCACGGCCAAGGATAAGTTCAGCGTTCCGGAGCATGTCCGCACTCAGAAGATGTCCAAATTTGCGAAGAAATTCCTGGTTTGGCAAGCCATCTGCACGTGCGGGAAGCGGAGTGCACCTTTCGTGACCCAGGACACGATGAACGGACAGGTGTACATAAAAGAGTGCCTCCAGAAGCGGCTGCTTCCTCTCCTGAAGGCCCACAACGTCCCAACAATCTTCTGGCCGGATTTGGCCTCATGCCACTACTCCAAGAACG